ATCAGTGCTTCCAGCTTATAGGCTGCTGGTAATTTCAGCCGCTACACTTGCGTTTTTTTTTACCCCTGAAGATCTAGTTTTAAACGACCCTGTTACCACATAATTTATCCACGGGTCGTATTTCATGCCAATACAGGCTTAGATCAATCGAATCTTTCGTCTCTCTGTAGTAGTAATCTGTATCCTGTTTGTCATTTTTAGAACCTGTGGGTACTCGCGTCAGCTGTTATTCTAAATAAAGATTGGCGGCTTCCAGCTTAATCATTCTCTTAGTCCCTTGCTTCCAATCTGCACTACTTCTACAATGATTTGTAGCCTCCTTGCTCTGGTGTGACCAATTACTTGCCCCTTTTCAGTATGTCCTACACCTGCGGACACTCGCCGTCTAATTTTGGAGAACGTTTTTTGGTCAGACTTGCAGAACGTGTTCATCTACCGCGTAATGTTAAAGGCAGAAACAGTTGACATCAATTTCCCAATGCGTTTCAATATAGAGGGTTCAAAGCAGATGTATGGGTGAGCTTTTTTGTTCAGACGATTGTTTGCCTGCGCCGTTTCGTTAATGTTTTATGATGCTGATAGAGCGTAAAATACGGTTTAGGAAGGTGACGATGACGTTCCAGTGGAGTATGCAAATCATGCATGAGGCCATGCGTCATCTTATCTATGTACGTTGCCCTCTGGGTCGCCGAATCAAGATATTTCTCCCTCAGAGTAAGTTTTGCGAATACTCTTTCAGAACTTGTCTACTCGTCGTTGAGCATTCCATTTCACTTCACTGCTTCAGCAACAAGCGCAATGAAATTGAAAGAGGAATTCGAAGGCAAACTTGGGCGCACTATCGAGCCAACTCGACGAATGCATCAGCTTATCGTGAAAGTTCTTCCAGAAAATTACGAGGTATGTCAGTTTTTGGTGTGGGAGGAATATTTTTCACCATCAGACGTGGTAGAGCTCGTATTTCTTTCATTCTATGCAAGTCTACCCTGTTTTAGCTCACCCTTGAAGCTGCAAAAGAGATGTTCGCTCCTTTGGAACCAGTCGAAGTTGAAAACGTGAAAGATGACGCGGAGTAAGTTACTTCATCAGCGATTTTTATGAGGTTTCCGAGAAAACAAGTTCAGAATAGTATGATAATAAATGGTAATAATATATTTAACCAATATAATAATAATAGTTAAAAAATGTTATATTTATATGTAATGTGCAAATAATAAATGTAATAATAACTATGACAGCTCGTGCAGGAGATATGAGGGCAATTTCACCCATCATAACTAATTTCTTCCAGCCAGCCTTGTGCAATCGTTACCATGGCGAGCGTCGAGGATACCATCAAAGCGCATTCATCGACTTACTTTGTGACAATAAAAGTGGATGACAAAGACACTAAATGCCATGTGTTCCTTCGCGGAGGTATGATTGGTGATTATAACTGATATAAATCCGCGAAGTTATTCTTTGTTCCAGTTGAAGCACATTTTGGGTCGCTTCTAACGCGATGGGATAAGAAGAGAAACGAAAATTCAAAGAAGTCTTGTAAGTGTATATTTCAAGTATTGTTTCCTTTTTTTTCTAGAGTAATGACTGTTTCAGCAAAGCGTCCTGCTGTTTCAGCAAAGCGTCCTGCTGGCGACAAGGCTGCTTCGGGCTCAGCTAAGAAACCACGTGGTTCCTCTATACGAGGCACTCGAGGGTCAGGGCGCGGCTCATCACGCGCGGCACGGTCATTCGGTGGAAGAGGTGGAAGAGGTGTTCAAAGTTATATTTTGGTGCTCCAGGATACCGTGTAACCGTTAACGCCAGCCAAAATATCTCAAAAAAATTCTTCGCCCATCTCAGGCATTATTCTGCTAGCCCTTTCACTCTCTGAATTTTCTTCGAAAATGAATCAGAAGCGTCGATGCGCAAAAATAACAACTGCAGTCAGTTCTCGTAATGCATTTGGAATATATTTTGCTGTCTTCTTCAGTATCATGGAGCCCTTTGCCTTGAATATGATTTTGCTCATTTCTTGAGATTCTTATTCCAGGAAGAGGACGTGTAGATCCATATTATGGTGATGTCTTCGGGTCTCGATACGAAGCCGAAGCAAGAATGCGACAAGAGATCGAGTTACAGCAGAGAATGATCAGAGAACAGGAAATGTTAGATCCGTTTTTGTTACCTCCGTTGAAATGGTGTTCATTGAGGTCTAGGAAATAATTGAGACTGGCTTGAGACTATTAACACGTACTAACTCCTACGCTATCTGATCACGTGTCACCTTTTTTTACGTGCAACTAATCATTCAAATTTGAGGATGGCTGCAAAACTACGCGAGCAAGAGCGTTTCGGATATGGTGGCAGACCTTATGGTGAGTTGCACTGAAATATTCTCTCATTTTTTGCATTCTGAGTGTTGTCGTATTCTCTATAAGTGAAGTGAGGGGATTCTCGTGATTTACTTAGTTAAATCGGTGTTGTGCATAACTGTAGGGATCACCTATCATCAGTTCCGCTGCTTACACGATTCATTAAAGTGAGAGTAAGTTTAATGGAATGACTTTAATAAGCAGCGGGAATCAGGGTGCATTACATCTAGGGATACAGAGATAGGAGGTTTCTTCCACTTTACAGCGGGTTCATTTCTTGATTTCAAAAACTGCACATATTACTATATATTAAGTATATCATATATTATTATTATTATTAATGTGATTACTTTAGGTGGTTCTGCATTCTCCTATGGAAGAAGCAGCTATGGTGGCGGTTACGAGTGAGTTTCAATTTTCAAAAAGTTTTCAATCGATTGTTAAATGTGAATTTTGATAATTATAAACAGTGTTCAAAAAGCGGGAAATGGTTGTAGGATGTTCTATAAGCTGCAATTTTTCTTGCACAGTTATGAAAGATGGCGAAAGTCCTTCCAGGCGCGATTTCAGCTAGTATTCTTTTCAATAGTTCAACATGTTCGAATCCCCGTTGAACATAGTAGGGGTCGTTCCAGTCCTGCCATTAACAAGAATTCTAATATTGATTAATTGGAACCGGTTTTCCTGGTATAATATTGCAATTCGCGGCTTGAGTCATGAAAGGATCACTCGGGGAGCAGTTACGCGTACATCGGCGAATTTGTATATAACGCAAGAGCAAGTCGAGGATTCTCCCGTAAGCGACCATCCCACGTGGTGAGGTGATATATGACGCCGCTACCACATAATCTCATGGGAATCGAATTAAGGATTGAATAAACCTCAGATCAAGTTTTCCGCTCCCCGAGGTCGGCTAACTGGCGCCAAACTTTTCTGAAGGATAAAAACGTTGGATCATACATTGTTTGCAATTCCTTGGCTTTGGGCCAGTATATGGCTACTAAAAGTCTGCAAGTAGTAAATTACATGGCCGTTGTGTGGGCTAAGTACACCGAAAAGAAGAAGGTCTCAGGCGTACAGTAAGTATTGGTCGATGCTAACCACTTCATGATGTTTTAATACAGTTTTGTTTGGCTGGGCATTGGTAGTACCCTATAAGAGCTATGTATGCCTACAGTCGGTTCTGAATAATTATTTGGAGGCGAGTACGCGGTATATCATTTATGATGAGTACATCAACGTCAACTTCTTCACTTCTATTTTTAACTTTTGTAAATTTTCTAAAAATATTTGAAAAAAAATTGCTTAACCTCTCTTTACTTTGATTGTTTTCTTAGAAGAAATAATGAAAAAATTATGTTTTTATGACACATGAGTTAACTCCATTGACTTTGACTTTTCTTGGAGTACTCCGTTCCAATGCAAGCATTTTAGTCGTCGTCGTTATTGAGAGAATGATGCCGCGTAGTGTCGATATCAATGAGGGCAAACGTATGCGAGGTCATGACCCGATACTGTTGATCGAGCTGTGACGCCATCATTTGTGCCGAACTTACCTGATACTCTTGCTTCATACACCTGTTTATCAAAGAAATCTCATCTGTCGTTTGAAAAACATCTTGTTTTCCTAAATATAAACCAAGTAGTATTCATCAAGCAGTATAAAATTGTTTTCCTCATCAAATGTAACTATTGTTTGTTATTTGTGTCTACGTGCAGTAGCATGTAGTGAAAGTTATTCTCGTTCGTTGTTTATTATATTATTACGTAAATTCCTTTTCTACAGTTGCATTGTGTACGTGTTGTGGAGTAGCAATCATAGTCGTCTTGTTGTTGTGCTTGACAGGGACCTAGCTACCCTCCCTAGCTAAGGAACGTGTCCTTCTTCATACCTTTTGATGTCATTATCCTGTTATTAGTCGCAGGCCTCATTCGTTAAAGTTGTTCTTCGGAAATAAATTATTACCGTGGATGACAGTTGCAGGTGCTTTGAAGTATCCATGAATATTACTTACTTTTGACTAAGCTACTTCTAAGCGCTCTTCATACTCCTGGTAACAAAAGTGGTTTGTGAGCCCCCAGAAAAGTATCGTGCTATGTAGCCGCAGTCAAATTTTGCTTCCAACGGCTCCAACTTGAAGAAAGTTGAGGTTTGGAAGTTTAGCCACCGTGGTGGTTCTGCTAATGTAATTTTGAAAAACAGGGTTGCCTCGTAGTTTACCACAGAACCTCGCAGAGCAGCCAAGACCTATGAGCGATTGGGTTATGCCTTTGCTGTAGTGCAGTACAACAGTTTTAGGATGTTCTGACTATGGGAAACTATAGAAGCTATGTAGGAAAGCGATGGGAGTCCCTCAAACACTTTGATGGGTTTGATGCTTCGCGTGGACGGATGGTAGCACTGTTTGATAGTTATGGCTCGGTTTCTTCTGGTCTGGATCTCAAGAAGTGCGGAAGGTTTTCGTGGCTGGAATATTATCCCCTTTTTCAAGCATTTATGGATAGGGGAGTTGTTTGGGAGCGGTACTGAACGGTCAAATCTCTTACTGCTACTGGTGTGTTAGAAGCTACACTAGTATCATAAATTCATTTATGCAGATTGCCATAAACGAAGATAGTGTCAATAAGGATGCCATATTATGTCGTTTTAATGTCGAGCCAACTCAGCTATCAGGCACCATTAGCATGACCTCGATGAATGTTCATTGCTGTTGGCATGTATGCTATCGCGATCCCCCTTAATAGTCCTTCCTGGAACTCCCAATCTGCTAGTACTCCGAACACGAAGGAAAGGCTTTGCATTAGAGGGTCCTTGGGCGAAAAAAAATGGTGATTTTTCCACTTTAACCCCCTTCCTCCCACTCCAACCCATTTCGAACATGACCGCTACTTCTACATGTGGTCCAGCCACTTACTCGACATCAGTTGGAATCGAAACCACTTGTTTTGAAGGTCCATGGAGCGTTCTAGGTTTCTTGCACAGCTATTTAGTTGTACCTTAGGAGTAACTGTAGTTGTCCCATAAGGTAATCACAATGATACCTCTTGCTTTATGCTTAATCGCTCAGTGCGCATATGAAGGGCGCCATCAGAACCGACGAGATGATGCTTCAAGTGCTCAAACGAGCTTCATGATACTCAAGGGTGTTTGATGACCGCCTATTTGCATAATATGCACCCCAGCATATGCTCGAAGTAAAATTCAAGTGCTGTCCTGTCACAAAAGGGTATCGGTAGCTCTTTGACCCGAGCTGATGCCCTCTAATTGCCGATGACCATAAATGCTGAACATTTATGGCAGTAATTGGGCAAGCCTATCAGAATGGTCGAAGAGTATCCACCAATGGGAATCTATTAGGGTGTAAGCAAAGAATCTGCCGAAAACTTCATATAGCTCTAACTTTTACTGGGATTTCACGGAAGCTGCCATGGAAATACTATAAAAGGAGTTACCTACTTATGGGCTAGGCTCAATGAAACCGGAGATTCAAAGATATCGAAGTCGGTTGACCAGATCGAGGCCCATCTTCGACTTTCTTGTTTCCGGTTTTGAAGCGTTGGAACAGGCGATCACAGAACCGCCTGAAAGGGATCCAAGATCAAACACTTGTCACAAGTACCGCTAGGTTTCAGCGGCGGGGCAGGATTTCAAAGAAGTACGTGTCGAGTATGGGAAATATCTCGGCCACTACGGGATTAAGTAAGGAGGCGGGATATTGTTACAGTAAGTCCTCCCTGGCAGAGACCTTCCCCCCCCCCCCCCCCCCTCTTGAAACTCCCGGAAAATTCTGAAAAAGTCTGGTCTGATGGGGGAATTTTTGGCAGATACTTTTTGTATGACCAAGCTGGTCATTCCGTTTCCCTATAAATCAGACGATCTTTTAGAAGATTTATGATGATTTGGTTCTCGGATGAAGCGCGTTGAATGTGGAATGAATCATTCTTGCAATTTCTAAGCTCATTTGCATACGAACACATTTGTACGCAGTGGTCTCTAGAGGAATGTCGTAGCGCCAAGAATATGCAAACAGTTGATCGCGAGCACTAGAGTGCGAAAGGAATGTGACGGACGGTGAAACGCGAACTTCCTCAGCCCTCGAAAGACCAGAGACAATGGGAAAAATTCCGGAATGAACTCACATGTCGTAGAAGCGGAATAACTCGTTTTTACCTTTTCCCACTCAATTCTAACTTTCCTATGGTAGCGGAAATCAAACATGGGAATAGTTGGGGCAAGTGAGCCCAGAAAAGTGACCTCGGGAACTTTGGTGTTGGTCTAGGCCGGGTCCGCTTTCAACGACAATCACAATATCGTCGAGGCATTGACAATACAAATACTTACGTCATTTTTCGAGCATACGTCAGATGTTCTTAACCAGTTTGGCTGATGTTCACCACCACAGCGCGCATCACATGGTATGGGGCTCTAGCGAAACGCGCTACCCCCTAGGACTCCAGGTCACATGGTCGACGCCGACAGCTGATTTCATTTCTCCTCTCCTTTCCTCTCATCCGTTTTCATAATCATATTTATATAATTCACCTAGAATTCATAGGCAATGTTGCCGACATTAGCATCACAAAAGGACTTCCCATATGGGGCTTTTGTCGGTGTATAATACAGTAGTGCTTACGGTATCCATAATGAAGCGTCCAGTTGTTCTTTTTTTCAGTGAAAATTCATAATTTATGGGCTGTGAGAAGGAGCTCAGGATCAAATCCTGCACCGATGCATAAGACAACTGTGGCTTTCCTTTATGGGTTATGGGGAACCGGAGTTGTCTGGGAAGATGGATGCCTTAACGTGTACATTGGCTAGCCCTGGGCCCCTGAATATCCCAAATATCCCTTCAGATACCAAGACTTCATAAATCAAGTGAGTAATGGTGCCGTTTTGAAATTGAGCTATATAGATTGATTTATAATCAAGGAGGTAGTGTTACGGTGAACGATGTAATCATGTTGAAAATTTACGGACGTTGGGGAAGAGGTGGCATATAAAATGACCTGAAGCATCTTTGTAGTGGAAGGTCCGCTGGTAGTGGGTAGGTCTTCTGTACAGAAGCCAAACCGATTAGGGTGGTATTGCAATGGAAAGTTGATTTCGGAGGGATAAGATAGGGGTGGAATTTCAATACTGGGAACCAATAGAACAAGTGATATTCCTGAACTAATTGGGATATCGGAATCCAATTCCACAGAAAGTTTGAGGNCCTCCCTAAAATCACCTGTATGAGGTTGGCCTTATTTTACACATCATTCATTTGCACAACATCATCGTTAGCATGGCATTTTTGACATCTCTTTGTTACTCCTTCTACTAATCCTTATATCTCTGTATCGTTCCTTTTCGCCTAGCGCTAATGTTTCCATGCAATCCTTTTCTTTTTCCACTTTACAATCCCCTTTCTTTTGCCAGGAAGAGTACTGTACCATCGGAGAAAATGGCGGATGGAGCGGGTGAATCTCTCGGTCCATGCCTTCTTATCGCACCTACCAGCCCTTATCATTTGTTACCACGATTTATACTCTATCCCCTCTTCCACTCCCAGCAATTTACTTGTGCAAATACTTTATTGTGGAGACAAACATTTCATCAACTTCCCATGACAAGGCAGACCCCACATTTAAGTCCGAATGTGAATTCCGGCTGTGACAGGAAAGGCGTAACGACATCAAAACACCTGCCTTCTCTCGTCCTTTACCGACCATTATCAGTTGTTACCATTCTTTTCTAGACCCCATCCTACCCCCTTTATCCCTTGCAGATTAAAAGTTTGTCTCAATCAGAAGATCCGCTGATACTTTCATGAATACTTAGAAATGTGCTCAGGATGAAGAATGTACCACCATAGCTTCAATAGAAAATCCTAGTCCCATCCCTTCTTGTTATATCAGAAATGGAAGATATGGGGCAGATAGCTGCCTCTATTATTTACCTCAGATTTTGTTTACTTTAGCAGTTATGCACTGAAAATGGTCGAAAATCATATTTGAATTGCTATCGGATTTCTGGCGGAAGTTTTTTCCCCTCTGAATCTTCCCTCCGTCGTCGCTAAATGAATGTCAAGGCCTATTTCAATAAGAAAAAGTTTCGCGGAAACTCTACGCCAGGATAATTGCAAGTTTCTTTATTCCTTTTCCTCAGAGAATTTATATACTACCCGAATTTTGTGAAGGATCAGGCTGCTCAGCCTTCAGGGTCTCCCAACCCATATTTCGGGAGTTCTGGGGTCAATCATTACGCCCTATATCAAGTGTGCCATAAGTATCAACTCCACGAAAACCTTAAGCGCGACTTTGATTCAATAGAGGCACCGAGGACAATGTTTACAGTGGTTCTTTGGGATTTTCTTTGTCAGAAATTATTTTTCTTTTTTTTCTAAATTATGTCTGAAGAATTATTAAATCCCTGTAATTACTCCTTTTATCATAGAAGCATCCTACTTG